GGTTTCGGGGAAACCTGGGCCAGAGATCATTGGCTTTTTCCCCCCCCCCCCCCGGTGTTGGGGCTTGTACTCAGGGACTGAGCGCTGTCCCTGAGCTTTTGTGCCCAAGGGGAGAGCTCTACCACCTGAGCCACAGTACCACTTCTGACCTTTTTTTTTGGGGGGGGGTGTCTGTGTGTCACGGACTTTCCTGCCTGAGCTGGCTTTGAACCATGATCCTCAGATCTCAGCCTCCTGAGTAGCTAGGATGACAGGCGTGAGTCCTCTGGTCCACCCGACCCCCACCCTTTTTTGACTGTTAGACTGATGTCCTGCACGCTCCCCCACCCCCCACATTCCCCATACTTGGGGAGTGGGGAGTCATCGGTGAGGTCCATAAATAGGGAACTACAGAGAGAAGACCACTGTTGCAAACATCCTGGACCTGAACCAGCTTCTGGCCCACTGAGCCTAGAGCTGGCACCCTGTTTCACTCCTTAGCTGAATGGGGAATTGGTGGTTTTGTTGGACGCTCTCTCTGCACATCTGCCACTCCACCTGTTGTTGGGGAGGGAGGGGCGGCACTCCTGCAGGTGTTAGGGGGTGGGGTTGGGCGGAGGGCCCAGGGAGCTTTTGTTCTCATCTCTGGCTGGAGTGACTGTGGCTTTGCTCTGCTTCAGGGATTTTTTTTTTTTTTTAAACCCTCAAGAAAAATCGTTGCTGGGTTCTCTGGAAACCATTTTCTGAGGTTGCGGAAGATCATTGTATGTCTGGGGGGGGGGTCATAACTCCTAAAGGGCTGAAATACAAGCTTTTGGTGGATGGGAGAGTCTGGAATGTTCTGTCTGTTGGCTTCCTAAGCAGTGTTCTCTAACAGATCTACTGTTTCTCTTTGGATAGAGCCCAAAGATAAGGATGATGTCACCAGAGGCCTCCATAGAGCTGGGGAATCATGCGCATAGTTCTAGTTTTAGTTTTTTTTTTTTCTTTCCAGTCCTGGGGCTTGAACTCAGGGTGTGGGCACTGTCCCTGAGATTTTTTGTTGTTGTCATTCAAGGTTAGTACTGTATTACTTGAGCCATAGTGCCACTTCCAGCTTTTTCTGTTTATGTGGTATTGAGGAATTGAACCCACGGTTTCATGCATGCTAGGCAAGCACTCTACCACTAAGCCACATTTCCAGCCCTTTTTTTTCTCATCCTTGCCAATATTTTTATTACTATTATTATTATTATTACTTGGTTTAGGGGGGCTGGCTTGGAATTTACAGTCCTGTAATCCTACCTGGATTACAGGGAGGTGACATCCTGCCCAACCTGAGTACTTTTTTTTTTGGTCAGTCATGGGGTTTGAACCGGGCCTGGGCGCCGTCCCTGTGCTCTTCAGCTGAAGGTGAGCAATCTACCCCTCCAGCCATAGCTCCACTTACAGTTTTCTAGTGGTTTATTGGAGATAAGAGTCTCAAGACTTTCCTGCCCAGGCTGGCTTTGAACTGTGATCCTCAGATCTCAGCCTTCTGAGTAGCTAAGATTACAGGCGTGAGGCGTGAGTACTTTATTTTTTTAATTATCATAGATGGGGTAGTTTTCCTCACTTTCATTTTTCATGTCACCCGTTGCTAATCTATGGAAATTTATTGCATATTTCCTGTATTGATTTTATATCCTATATCCTACTACCTTGCTGAACTCATTTATTCTAACAGTTTTTTTTTTCTTTTTTGTCCATCGTGGGTCCTGAACTCTGGGCCTGGGCGCTGTCCCTCAGCTCTTCAGCTCAAGGCCAGTGCTCTACCACTTGAGCCACAGCGCCACTTCTGTCTTTTTTTTTCTGTTTATGTGGTGCTGAGGAATCAAACCCAGGGCCTCATGCATGCAAGGCAAGCGCTCTACCACTGAGCCACCTTCCCAGCCCTATTCTAGCAGTTTTTAATGGGATCCTTAGGATTTTCCTATATATAAGATCACATGTTGAACTTTTTTTTTTTTTCTTTTGTCGGTTGGGAGGCTTCAACTCAGGACCTGGGCTAGCGCTCTACCACTTGAGCCACAGTGCCACTTCCAGTTTTGCAGTGGTTAATACGAGATAAGAGTCTCATGGGGATTTTTCTGCCTGAACTGGATTCAAATAGCGATCCTCAGATCTCAGCCTCCTGAGTCGCGAGGATGACAGATGGCCCCAGCTTACATGAAACTTCCTTTTTTCTGAAACTGAGTCTTGCCATGTAACGCTGCATGGGATCTGACTGCTGGGCTTACAGGCATGTATGTTACCACCTCTAGTATACCTTGAATGGTTTTTTAACCTCTCCTGGTTGTTGGAGGAAGAGTCTTGACCCTAGGAAAGCCCTGTCCTCTCCCATTTGACCTTGGCTCTCCTGCAGGAGGACCCCTCCCTGGAGAGACATTTTAAAGGCCACCGCGATGCTGTCACCTGCGTGGACTTCAGTCTCAACACGAAGCAGCTGGGTAAGAGAAGGCGTCTTGGCCCAGGCCCTTGGCTAGGAGCTGAGAAGATAGTTTCTCTCCCTGGGAGGTGTGGTGTTGGGGAGCAGGGCCTGGTGCTTTGTCTAGATCTCATCTTGTTTCCACCTGCCAGCTCTCGGGGCACTGGCTTTCATGGGCATCATTTTGTATACCAAAAAAAGTATGGAGATCAGGGATGCTGGGAAGGTCACGCAGCCTTGAACAGTAAGGGAAAGGTGTGGTGTGGTGTGGGCGGTCCAGTGGCCGCATAGATTCCCTTGCCCACAGTGAATGTGGCACCGAGCGAGCGAGCAGGATGCTGGGAAGACCCAGGACCCTCCCCCCTCCCCCCACATCCTTTGGCTGTGGCTGGGGGAGGGGCACCCCTTTATTGACCATGGGAAGGCTCATACTCGGCTTTCTGGTTCCCCTAGTTCAGTCTCACCCCTTTACTCTGTGGTCAGCCAGAGGCAGACCACATCTGGAATCGGCTGTAGACAGCGAGGGGAGCAAAGTCGCTTTTTGCTCTGCGTTGGGTGCTCTCCAGCTGCTGACAGACGACTGGGCCATTTTTACTTTAGTTTTTTTTTAGTGGTACAAGGCCCTCTGGGTCAGGCTGGCTCAGGGTGTTGGGGGAACACAAGAGAATTGTGTTCTCCTGCTGTCAGTTGTCACCCCCCCACCCCATGAGTGTGTTTTCCTGGGTGTCGGACTTGGGGGGGGGTGTCACCGGAAGTGGGCTGCCTGTGACCCGCCCTGTGGAAGCCTAGTGAAGCTGTCCCCAGAGTTCTACCGAGATCGGGGACCCCAGAGCCAAGAGTCATGGCAGCTCCCACTTTCCTCAGCCAGCAGTTCCATGGACTCGTGCCTTATGGTCTGGCACATGAAGCCCCAGTCCCGAGCCTATCGCTTCACCGGCCACAAGGACACCGTCACCTGTGTAAACTTCTCCCCCTCCGGACACTTGCTTGCCTCAGGTTCCCGGGACAAGACGGTCCGCATCTGGGTACCCAACGTGTGAGTTAAAGACTTCCAAGGGAGCCGGGCGCCCGTGGCTCCCGCCTGTCATTGCAGCTACTCAGGAGGCTGAGATCTGAAGGTCGGCCTTCACAGCCAGCCTGGGGGCTGGGAAGGTGGCTCAGTGGTAGAGCGCTTGCCCAGCATGTGTGAAGCCCTGGGTTCCATTCCTCAGTACCACATACACAGAAAAAGCCAGAAGTAGCGCTATGGCTCAAGTGGTAGAGCGCTAACCTTGAGCAAAAGAAGCTCAGGGACAGTGCCCTGGCCCTGAGTTCAAGCTCTATGACTGGCAAAAAAAAAAAAAAAGCCAGCCTGGGCAGGAACATCTGTGAGACTCTTATCTCCAATTTACCACCAGAAAACAGAAAGTGGCGCTGTGGCTCAAGTGGTAGAGTGTTCACCTTGTGCTGAAGAGCGCAGGGACAGCACCCAGGCCCAGAGTTCATGCTCCACAACTGACAAAAAAAAAAAAGACTTCAGGGGAGCCAAATGCTGGCTCACCCCTGAAATCCTAGCTACTGAGGAGGCTGAGATCGAAGGATCATGGTTCAAAGCCAGCCCAGGCAGGAAAATTTGTGAGTCTCTTGACTCCAGTGAACCACCAGAAACCCAGTATGGTGCTATGGTTCAAAGTGGTGGAGCGGTAGCCTTGAGCAAAAGTAGCGAAGGAACAGCGCCTTAGGACTGGCAAAATAAAAGACTTTGAGGGTCTTGATCATTGTCTAGGACCTTGGGGCCAGAGCTGTTTGCAGCGAGATCGAGGGTATGAGCCCTACCACTAAGGAGGTGCCTTCAGAGGCCGGGGTTTCAGTGGGGGCCCTCCTCTCTGCCTGGGACAGGGATTCTGGCTGGCTCCAGTTGCTTCCTGGTGCATGGCTCTGTGGGAGGTGCTTTGGCTTCCCTGGGGACATTCAGGGGTTTAGGCCTGGACTGACATTGGGAGGGGCTCGCAAGGGTGGGGAGAGCTTTGATGAGTCTCTGGGTGTCTGGTCACCATCACGAGTTTCCATCCTTGTAGCAAGGGCGAGTCCACCGTGTTCCGTGCACACACAGCCACAGTGAGGAGCGTCCACTTCTGCGGTGATGGCCAGTCCCTGGTGACAGCGTCCGACGACAAGACAGTGAAGGTGTGGTCCACTCATCGCCAGAGGTTCCTCTTCTCGCTGAGCCAGCACATCAACTGGGTCCGCTGTGCCAGGTGAGCGCTGCCCTGTCTGGAGACCCTGGAAGGACCTGTAGTGGACAGGTGACCTGAGGCTGTCCCTTAGCTGGCCTCTAATCTTGCCAATCCTTGGTTTCCTTATCTGTAAAATGTCAGCAGCAATTGTGGTGTGTGTGTATGTGTGTATGTGGTGGGAACCCAAAGGACTTTTCAAGGTCCCAAAATTGCCTGCACAGATAAGCCTACTTCAGCGATTCCAGCTCCTTCAACAGAGCTCCTTTGTGTCCATTCTCGTTGCTCCAGAGGAGGGGGGTGCCGATGTCCTGGGGAGCCAGAGGATGGGGGGGGGGCTATCGAGCTGTCTTCTTTGGAGATGCAGGTCAGGCTCATTGTTGCCTACATAGCTCCTTAGTCCTGAGATGTCTTGAGGCTTCCGAATGGTGTGATAGGCCCACAGCAGGCTTTGAGTGGTGGGTCCCCAGGATCTCCGTGCCTCCCAGGGCTGGGGGTGACAGCCACACCCCTCTGCTCTTAAGCTTGGCCTCTTCCTGTGTAGATGGAGGACACAGGTGTAGATGGAGGGCCTCAGGCTGATACTGCCATCTGGTGGTACTGGCTAGGTATTGCCACTTGCTGTGTGCCTGCTGGGGTTTGGGGTACATTGTGCTAGTCCATGCTTACCGTAGGGTGATCATTGCTGCCTTCCTGTCTCATAGACAGGAAAGCCGCCTGCGCACTCAGGGCATCAGAGCCAGGGGTCGAACCCCAGCTTGTGAGACAGGCTGGCACTGGGCCTGCCAAGGGAAGGTGGTTGAGGAAAAGGGGTGTGGGGGACGAGGGGGAGTCGGCTAATCGGCAGTGTGACCATCGGCTCAGGTTCTCTCCTGATGGGCGGCTCATCGTGTCCGCTAGTGATGACAAGACGGTCAAGCTGTGGGACAAGACGAGCCGGGAATGTGTCTACTCGTACTGTGAGCATGGCGGGTGAGTCTCCCAGGCGCCCCTCCTTCCACAGGTGACCAGCACCGGTGTGAGGAGTCCCAGGAGCCTTCGGGGCTGGAACTGTGGGGGTGGCAGCCACGCCTCCTGCTGCGCGTTAGCTCTGTGGATGGAGAGTTCGTCCCTCATCTGTATCCACAGATAACAGGAACGCTCAGCGTCAAGCCATCTAATGCCCTGCACCTCGTCGCTTTGTAGTTCTTAGCGCTGCGGGTGTCTGTCTATGAGCAGTTGAACTCAACAAGAAAGGGAAGGCGTTTTCCTGGGTTCCTAAGTGGATGCCAGGCTCTGCCCTCCTTATCTAGGCTGCGACCCGCAGGCCAAGGTCCCTCCTGGGAGTATCTCCTGTGAGCACATGGAGGGCACTTGGCCTGTCTGGAGGTAGATGGGGCCAGCAGCTCTGGAACCCAGAGCAGCCCTCTGACTTGTAGGTCTGAAGACCGACTTTTCCACCTGTTTTTGTTGTTGTTGTTGTTGTTTTAAAATGAATAGTAAGTCCACCTTAGCTAGCTACTGCCCACTATTTTCACCAGCTTCTTGCTCTCCCTCGCCCACCTGGCAAAGCAACATGGCAGAAAGGGGGTGCTCTGGGCTCAGGGACCCATGGTATGTGTGTATAGGTGGGGACTGGGGTAGGGGGGATGTGTGTCCCTCCTGAGCTGGGGCTGACCTCCTAAACTGATGACAGCCTGTCTTTCCAGCTTCGTCACGTACGTGGATTTCCACCCGAGCGGGACGTGCATCGCGGCCGCGGGCATGGACAGCACAGTGAAACTGTGGGACGTCAGGACCCACCGGCTGCTGCAGCATTACCAACGTGAGTGTCGAAAGGGCCACGGGCGCACTGTGCATGTGCCAGGTGTTTGGGTCATTACCATGGGCCTTAAGCAGGGAGGAGCCTGGGGGCCGACTTTCCAAGGCTGGGGAGAAAAATCCAGCATGGAGCAGAAGACAGGCTCTGTTGAATGTGGCGTTGGCAGGTCACTCCTAGGATGGTGATGGCGGGGGGGGAGCAGGGGGGGGGGGGGGAGGGGGTGTCTGGAGTTGGTTCTTGTCAAGAACAGAGAGCAGCTGGCACAAAGTGGGAACAAGGTACCTGTTAACCGGCGGGGGGGGGGGGGGGGCAGGGTGGTCCAGACTTGTAGTTCCTGATAACCACCACCAGGTGGCAGGGCCCAGCCACCAGAAGCAGGTCTTTCCCACATAGGGACCTCCGCCCTGGGTCACCCCATGCTCTGAAGAGGCTGCAGAACAGAATAGCCTGGGAGACCCTCTCCACTTGGAGAGGCGTGGCCTGTCTCTTCCTTCAGGCTTACAGGCCGCTCTGCCCTGGTCCTGGTCCCGTGTGGGGATCAGGCGCATCGATCAGTGACAGTGGATGGGTTCCGAGCAGGAAGGGCTCGGGCGGTGATTTGGACAGGCACCGGGCACTTGTTTCCCATCTGCTTTCTAGTGCCCTTGGGCTCTAATGTGAGAATTGGGTTGATGATAGGGTGGTGCGTGTCCTCGCCTCCCCGCTTCCATGCCAGCGGAGGCATGGCTGGTACCATTTGTTTGTCTAAGGCTGAGCAGTGGGTCTTCCCAAGCAGGCTGTTTCTTGGCTCTGGCTTCTTGTGTAGAGAATCCTCGTGATTTCCTAACCCACAGAGGTGGGTTAGGCTCCATATGCTCTGAGCCCACGTGAAGACTGTTCAAACTTCTGAGCAGCAGCCTCCATCCCAGAACCCAGAATGCTTTGTGGCTTACAGGCTCTCACGGGTCCGTGATCCAGTGACGGGCCCGGTGGCCAGCAAGCAGGGCTCCTACCCACATCACCAGCATGGTATACGAGGCTTGCCCAGTCAGGCTGCTGGGAGGCCAAGAATCTGGATCTTCAGCTCAGGGCCTCTGAGTCTGTTCTTCCACCCATCATTCTCACATGGGAGTTGCCTGTACTGTTATACCTTGAGCGGCCTTTTCCCCAGGCTTCTGGGAGTGGCAGTCTCCTCTCAGCTGGCTGTCCTGCAGGCTTGGCTTAGTCTTTTCTAGAAGCTTGATTTGGAAATGGAAGCTCTGGGTTTTCAGCAAGGTCTGCATCCGATGGAAAGTGGATTGTTCAGGATATTAAGATAGGAGGCTAAGCCGGGCGCTGGTGGCTCATGCCTGCCATCCTAGCTACTCAGGAGGCTGAGATCTGAAGGTCACAGTTGAAAACCAGCCCGGGCAGGAAAGTCCCTGAGACTCTTCTCTCCAATAAATCAATCAGAAAACCAGAAGTGGAGCTGTGGCTCAAGTGGTAGAGTGCTAGCCTTGAGCTGAAGAGTTCAGGGATAGCACCCAGGCCCAGAGTTCAAGCCCCATGACTGACAAAAACCAAAACAAACACAAAGACAGGCTAGTCCCCTCCCCTCCCCACCCATGGGCGGTGGAACCCCTGTGGGAGTACTATGCAGTGATGGTTTCTTTTTTTGGGTCCAGTTTTGGGGGTCTGAACTCTGGGCCTGGGCGCTGTCCCTCAGCTCTTCAGCTCAAGGCGAGCGCTCTACCACTTGAGCCATAGCACCACTTCGGGCTTTTTTCTTTTTGCTTATGTGGTACTAAGGAATTGAACCCAGGGCCTCGAGCATGCAAGGCAAGTGCTCTACCACTGAGCCACCTTCCCAGCCCTGCAGTGATGGTTCTTAAAACCAGGACCCCCTGGCTGGGAATGTGGCTTAGTGGTAGAGTGCTTGCCTAGCACCCATGAAGCCCCTAGGTTCCATTCCTCAGTACCACAGAAACAGAAAAAAGCCGGAAGTGGCGCTGTGGCTCCAGTGGTAGAGTGCTAGCCTTGAGCAAAAGAAGCTCAGGGACAGTGCCCAGACCCTGAGTTCAAGCCTCAAGACTGGCAAAAAAAAAAAAAAAAGACCCGGACCCTCTTCTCCCCAATCAGTCCCTCCCTACATCTCTACAGAGACAGGGAGGAAAGCCGGGGGGCAAAGAGAGCCAGTGGCAAAGTGTGGCAAGCTAGGAGTAACAAGTCCCAGAGATAATCTTGGCATTTATGGAGGGGCTGGAGGTGCGGTTCAAGTGGTAGAATGCTTGCCTGGTCAGCACTAGGCTCTGGGTTCAAACCCCGGTACTGCCAGGAACATTAAAATATAGTGGAATACGGGGCGGGGAAGGTGACTCAGTGGTAGAGTGCTTGCCTTGCATGTATGAGGCCCTGGGTTCGATTCCTCTGCACGACATAAACAGAAAAGGCAGAAGTGGTGCTGTGGCTCAAGTGGCAGAGCGCTAGCCTTGAGCTGAAGACTGAGGGACAGCGCCCGGGCCCAGAGTTCAAGCCGCATGACCAAAAAAAAACAAACAAAAAACCAAAATATAATGCTAGTCGTGCAGCTTAAACTCAGGGCTGGGCACTGCCTCTGAGCTTCATTTGCTCAAGGCTAGCAACTCTACCACTTGAGCCACAGCGCCACTTCTGGCTTTTTCTGTGTATGAGGTACTGAGGAATCAAACCCAGGGCTTCATGCATGCTAGGCAAGCACTCTACCACCAACCCACATTCCCAGCCCATCAAGTAGGGTTTCTGTGGCCCTTCTGAGGGAAAGTTCCTCCATGTGTGGGCCTGCCCAGCTGCGAGGCCAGTGTGGTGTCCGCACACTGACTCCCTGGTGGTGCTGGGGAAATCCTGGGGCTCCTAGAGCCCTCCCTCCCGACCCCCAGCTCCTTGGATGTTCCTCTGTTAGCCTGGTCTTACTGGTGAGTGGAGGGGGTTGGCTGTCACCTCAGTGCGGGCTGTGGGGTCCCCACATTCTGCCTCCTCCAGGAGCCGGAGACCCTCGCAGCGTCTCCCGGCTGCCTTCTGAAGCTGCTGGCATCGGAGCTGGTTGTGCAGATATAAATACCGTGTTAACGTCAGGTTTTGGCTGGCTCTGCTGAGTGTCCTTGGGAACACATCTCCACACTTGTCTGCAACCCAGCGGGGTTGGCGTCGGTGGGGCTCCGTGCACCCCTGTAGGGCTCTGTTGAGCACTGTTTTCTGGTGGGTATGTTTACTGGTCCCCCAGTGCTTGGTCTAGCATCTCACTGCTAGGTGGAAGGCTTGGGGCCTGCCCTTAACATTCCGTGGTAGTGCCAGCTTGGCAGAAGTCACGGTTACCCTTAGCCAGACTGGTTTCCCTCACCAGGCCTGTGCCAGTGGATACAAAGGCCCTGGGATCTTCTGCTCCAGCAGCGCTAAGAGGCTGCGATGGGCAGGTTCACACATTGGCGGTGGTACAGCGCTATTCCCTGTGGATTGCAGGGGTCTCCCCATTCCATGCACACAACAGGCCTCTGGCCCTGAGGAAAGGCTGTGGAGCCCACGGGAGATTGTGGATACCCAGCAGCAGCACGTGCTCCCCAGCTACTTTCTTTTTCTTTTTTTTTTGTCAGTGGTGGGGCTTGAACTCTGGGCCTGGGCACTGTCCCTCAGCTCTTGAGCTTAAGGCCAGCGCTCTACCACTTGAGCCACAGCACTCACTTCTAGCTTTTTCTGTGTGTGTGGCACTGAGGAATCGAACCCAGGGCCTCAGGCATGCAAAGCAAGCGCTCTACCACTGAGCCACCTTCCCAGCCCTCCCCAACTACTTTCTGAATCCCACTCTTGTCGGTGCCAAGCCCCTGCCTGATGGAGCTCACGCTTCTGTGGGTGACGCAGGCATGAATGTGATTGCTTCACTGAACCGTGGGAGAGTGACTTGGTGGGAGGCTGGGGTGCTTTGCAAGGACTAATGAAGGGCGAGCCAGGAGGGAGGTCACAGGAAGCGCCTCCTCCCTCGGGAGAAGAACAGACGGTCAGGGGACAGGGGGGCAAGAGAGGCACTTAGACCCAAGGGGTTGAAAAGGCTTCAGGCCAGGAGAACCCACAAAACTGGGATGATGGCCATGTCTTGGAAAATGAGGAACACCAGAATAGATGGCCAGGAATTGGCGGGGGGGGGGGGGGAGATGGGTTTAATGGGTTTGTAACAAGACTTAGAGTTGCAGCCAGGCACCGGTGCCCAACCCTGTAATCCTAGCTACTCAGGAGGCCAAGATCTGTGGATCCCAGTTCAAAGCCAGCCCGGGGAAGAAAAAGTCTGAGATATTCTTTATCTCCAATGAATCACCAGAAAACCGGAATTGGGGCTGTGGCTTAAAGTGGTAAAATGCTAACCTTGAGCAAAGAGATCAGGGACCATGCCCAGACCAGAGATCAAGCCCCACGACCAACAGTAACAACTAGGATTTCAATCCTGACAATAAAATAAAATTAAAAACAAAACAATGAAAAGATTTCGGGTTGCATGGGACAGCTCCAGGGGGGAAGGGAGAGGGACGTCCCATGCTGGTACTGAGTTTTAGGGCTCACTTTGTGAGTTTAACTTGGTAGCATGCACACAGCACCCCTAAATGGTAGAGAAACAGGCTCACTGCAGTCAAGGGTTTTGTTTTTGTTTTTGTCGGTCGTGGGACTTGAACTCTAGGCCTGGGCGCTGTCCCTGAGCTCTTCAGTTCAAGGGTAGCGCTCTACCACTTGAGCCACCGCGCCACTTTGGCCTTTTCTGTTTCTGTGGTGCTGAGGAATCAAACCTAGGGCCTCCTGCATGCGGAGCGTGCTCTTCCGCTGAGCCACCTTCCCAGCCCCAGTCAAGGGTTTTGTTGAAGGTCTCCTAAGGTGAGCCAGTGAGGAGGTTGGGGTGGGAACCCAGGCCTGACTGGCTCTGAGAGCATCTTGGCCTTTAGCCACCCTGTTCCTCACGCCTCCTTTCCTGAAGGCCAGTGCTACCATTGAGCGTCTAGTTTTCCTAAAATGCCAACGTAAATGACACGTCTCGGCAGTGTTGGGGTAATTGCCCCTCCAGCTTGACTGCTCAGCATGGTGGGAGAGGGTGAAGAAATCCCCCGATTTCCCCTGGCTTGCACATCTGTGGCCTCATCCCCTCGTCTCCCTCTGCCTGCCTTCTGCTGACCAGTCTTCTCCCAACCCTTGGTGGTGCTGCTCTGCTGGGGTATCCACCCGGGGCTCCCCATACCTCTTCTGAGCAATCCTGATCTGCCATTGTCCCCCCTTCCAGTGCACAGCGCAGCCGTGAACTCCCTCTCTTTCCACCCATCGGGAAACTACCTGATCACAGCCTCCAATGACTCAACCCTGAAGATCCTGGACCTGATGGAGGGCCGGCTCCTCTACACGCTCCACGGGCATCAGGTGAGCGGCACTGCCCCGTGCTGAGTGGCACAGAGCCAGGCACGGCCTCCATGCCAGTGTGATCGCTGAGCTCCAACTGATGGGTTTTTGTTTGTTTGTAGTCCTAGGGCTTGAACTCAGGGCCTGAGCACCAGCCCCTAGCTCTTGTGCTCAAGGCTGTTCCTTGCTCTACCACTTTGAGCCACAGTACCATGTCCAGCCTTTTAGTAGGTAGTTGGAGATAAACATCTCACAGACTTTCCTGCCCAGGCTGGCTTCGAACCATGATCCTCAGATCTCAGCCTCCTGAGTAGCTAGGCTGACAGGCGTTTTCCCTTTTACCTGCCATTGCCCTCTACAGCCTGGGCATTAGAGGGAGGTGCAGAGATATGACCTCCAGGGGGCGGGGGGGGGGGAGCGAGGATGGAGGTCTTCCCATGACCTTGGCTGGTGACCTTGGCTGATCTGGCTGAGAGGAATAAGGAAGTCAAGTTGGGAGGGGTCTGAGCATAGTTAGCAAATTTTCTCTCATGGAATTAATCCTTCCTCCAGAGGCCCAAGCATCCTTTGGTCTACTGGTTATTCCCAGGGTCATCAGGCCCGTGTCCCGTTGGGATAGAATCACCACGCTCAAGTAGGGCAGGGGGAATGGAGCCCAGAGATTTCAGTTTGTCTCTTTCTCCACCTGTGACCTGGAGACAGACCTCACGAAGAGCAGGTCAGGCCGCCAAGAGCTGAGGGCGGCCCTGGGAGTATTCGTGTGTCCTGAGCCAGCAGCCTCTGTGAGCTATGTATGATTTGGGGTCCTGTGGCCTTCTGAGTTAGGGAACCGAGAGCTGGTTGGCCAGGCCTGTGGGGTGGGGGTGGGACCTTTTCTTCTGCTTCCTTGGAATCTGGAGCATCTCAAGGGTGTTCTCTCCGGACCAGCACATCCAGCTGCAAAGTGTAGCCACGCTGGGCTGGGGTGACTGTGGCGGCCACCTGAGGGCTACTTCTGTTAGTTCTTCAGACTGATGAGTTAGATTGACACATAGCCAATTTTGGACTTAGAACCAGGAGGGCAGTTCAGACCTTGTGAATGCTGCTGCTACCTCTTCTGCCTCCCCTGAACAGAACAAAAGCACTTCTGAGAAATCTGCTAGCAGGTGCATGTCGAGCGATCACCCAGGACTCTCCCTCCCTTTGTGAGGGTCCTTTTGTGTATGTGTTTGTTTTTTTCTTTTCATTCATGAGGGCCCTTTAAACAGCTGATGCCCCTCTTAGCCCAAGGACCCTTCTCTGTGGGTTGTAAAATACCATTCCTCGTGTTCTGGTGCATTACTCAGCACGGAAAGACAAAGCAATGACAAAGGAATGAAATGGGAACCAGGAGCCTCTCCTTGTTAAACCAGGACAGGTGAGGACTAGACTGAGGGACAGCTAAAGGTTTGGGGTGTATGAAGAACAGGAAATGGCTTCTTGGAATCATCTCACCCCAAGTACCTATGCCTGAGGCTCAACGCCTAGGCAGTAGGAAACTCCATGAAGAGGTCAGCAGAGCTGCGGGCAGGCAGGGTGCCATGAGTCAGGAGGCTGGAAAATGTGGTTCTTGGTGTGTTGGGTGACTGTGGGTAGGCTCTGCCTTTTTCTTTTTTTCTTGTGCCAGTCCTGAGGCTTGAATTCAGGGCCTGGGCACTATCCCTGAGCTTTTTTTTTGGGGGGGGTGTTGTGGGGTTTGAACTCTGGGCCTGGGCGCTGTCCCTCAGCTCTTCAGCTCAAGGTGTGCACTCTAGCCCTTGAGCCACAGCGCCACTTCCGGTTTTCTGAGTGGTTCTTTAGAGACAAGAGTTTCATGGACTTTCCTGCCCCAACCTGACTTTGAACCAGTGATCCTCAGATCTCTGCCTCCTGAGAGTAGCTGGGATCATATAGATGTGAGTCACTAGTTCCCGGCCTCTCCTCCATTGTCCTCCTCTCCCCTGAGTTCTTATTCTATCATTTCATTTTGGAGGGTTATTCTGATGTCCAGCAGAGTGAGAGTTAGTCTACATGGTTGAGCTCTTCTTGGAAAAGGGTAAGGGATGACAAGAGAGAGAAGAACTCATTTTTCCCCCCTGTCTCCTGCCACTCACACAGAGTCAAGAGCTAGGAGCAAGTGTCCTAGGCTGCTGGGGCAGCCCAGGCGCTGTCCCGGGGCAGCCCGCACTGCCATTCTGTGTTCACTGGATTGCAATGGCCCTGCTGGGCTCCAATTAACTGCAGGAGCTCCGCTAGGGCTTGAAGAGGAAGCAGTCTGAGTACAGTTCCCATGGTCTGATAGTCACTAAGCTTTTATCTCTGACTCAGGGGCGTATGTGTGACATCCTGTTTGTTGGCAGGGTGTGTGTGTAAATCAACATAAAGCTTTTTTTTTTTTTTTTGTCGATCATGGGGCCTGAACTCTGGGCCTGGGCGCTGTCCCTCAGCTCTTCAGCTCAAGGCAAGTGCTTTACCACTTGAGCCACAGCACCACTTCCGGTTTTCTGGTGGTTTATTGGAGATAAGAGTCTCAGGGACTTGCCTGCTTGGGCTGGCTTTGAACCTCACTCCTCAGATCTCAGCCTCCTGAGTAGCTAGGATGACAGGCGTGAGCCACCGGCACCCAGCTTACAATTCTCTTTGAACCATGTCTCCCCTTCCCTTGCTCTTTTCCCAGTTTTTCCCTCCCGTCCCCACCCATATGGCATTTTGATAGTTAATTGGAGACAAAAGTCTCAAGAGTTTGTCTGGCCAGTCTGGCTTTGAATCATGATCCTCCAGGTCTCAGCTTCTTTAAGTAGCTAGGATTACAGGTGTGAGCTGCTGGCATCCAGCTGTTAGGAGTTGGCGGGTGAGGTCACCTCGCTGGGCTTGTGCCAGGGTGGCTGTTGTAGTCACTGTTGTCAGAGGTTAGGCATTCAGCAACATCCTTGCCCGGAGCGGAGACCTGATGTATTACCATGGCATCGTAGAAACTTCTTGGATCTGAAGTCATAATCAGAGATGATTTATAGCCTTAAATGAAGGTACTTAAAGAACAACAACAAAAAAAAAAAATCACCAACTTAAGAGCTCACTTGAGGCGGACACTACATAAAGAGCCCGGAGAAAGAGAAGACCTTTGCGAAGCCCATGTGCCTCCGTCTGGTGGGCAGGAGCATAGGAGAGAAGAGCAGGTGGACAAGGGCCTCACTTATCTGGGTCTTCAAAGGCGTCACCATTGGAGAGTCCAATCTGTAGAGTCATGCGGTGCTTAGCAAAGCTGACATGCTCTAAGAAATTTGTCATGGGGTGATTTCATCCTTGGGCAAACATCATCGCAAGTACTTGTACAAACAGAGGGTAACAAGGACACTGGTGATCCGAGCCGATGAGACTGCTCTTTACTGCTGCCCTCTGAGTGCTCTAGGCTGCTGGGGTGGGGTTTGATGCCTTAGTTTACTCTGTAAAGACAGACAGGCAAAGGGCCATCTTTTTTGAAACTCTTATGTACTGGTTTCCTTCCCTTCTCTTTGTTCCTATTCTATTTTTCCTCAAGGTTAAAATCATTTTGTTGTTTTGCCTGCCTGCCTGCCTTCTTTCCTTCCTTCTCTCTCTCCTTCCTTCCTTCCTTCCTTCCTTCCTTCTCTCTCTCCTTCCTTCCTTCTCTCCTTCTTTCCTTCCTTCCTTCCTTCCTTCCTCCCTTCTCTCTCTCTCTCTCTCTCCCTCCCTCTCTCTCTCTCTCTCTCTCTCTTTCCTTCGTCAGTCGTAGGACTTGAACTCTGGGTCTGGGCACTCTCATTCAGCTTAAAGCAAGGGCTCTATCACTTGAGCCACAGCGCGTGCCACTTCTGGTTTTTTGGTGGCTAATTGGAGATGAGTCTTTTGGACTTTCCTGCCTGGGCTGGATTTGAACTGCGATCCTCAGATCTCAGCCTCCTGAGTAGCTAGGATTACAGGCGTGAGTCACCAGCTCCTGGCTTGTTTTGCTTTTGTCTTAATGTAATGCCATATACTCATTTAAAAAGCTATAGGATAGCTGGACACCAGTGTCTCATGTCTGAAAATCCTAGCTACTCAGGAGGCTGAGATCTTAGGATCATGGTTCAAAGCCAGTCAGGACAGGCAAGTCCATGAGAAGAGTCTCAATAAACTCCAATAAACTCAAAAAAAAAAAAATAAGCCAAAAGTGGAACTGTGGCTTAAGTGGTAGAGCACTAGCCTGGAGCAGTTAAAGCTCAAAGACAGTACGTAGGCCTTGGGTTCAAGTCCCAGGACCACCAGAAAAAGAAAAAAAAAAACTTAAGGTCTGAGCATGACACAGATTTCCAGGAATCGAGTAAAAGTTACCTGAGATTCCACCTCCTCCATCTGTCCAGCCTTTATTGTCCACCTGCAAGGGTGTCTGCCCCACGCCCTGGCCCAAGTGTTAGTGTTACGCCAAGGGAAGTCACGTGGCGCATGGTGTCCCGCACCTGGTATCTGACTCTCACTGATGTTTAGTCGGCATTCTTCTCCACCAGTAAAAGTGGATCCACTTTATCCTAGTTAATGGCAGCTTAAGATTCCTGGGGCTGCTAGGATGGGGCGTGCCCAAGCCTGGGGCTCCCCCTCCGTCGAAGGGCGGCAGCTGGCAGGCAGGCAGGCATAGGCCCACGGCTCTGTTCCCCGATTCATGAAGACTAACCGCACGAATTGGCCTCCGATGAAGTGGATTAGTTGCAGGCGAAGTGGTGTTGACTGTGTCTTCTTTGTCATCCTGTTCTGAGCATAGCTGGATTCCAGAAGCCTGGGCGGGCATGTGCCTTCCTGTCCCAGGCGAGGCCTCTCCGCCTGCCCTGCTCCAGAGCCGGCAGGAGCTGCCTCCACGTCCCTTTTCTGGCTCAAGCCAAGACCGGGTCCTTTCTGGCATTCTGTACAGGAGCTTCCCAGGGCTCCCCTTGGCTCCAGGTCCGGCTCTCTTGCTGGAACCCGTCTTGGGGGCTTCTGAACCCTTGCCTCGCCCTGTCCTGCTCTTTGATCTGTCCTGGGGAATGCCGGCTACTGCTTATAATGAAATTTTGACGGGGAGGAAAAGAGGGGTACAGGCGTGGAGGGGTGGCCAGTTCTTGCTTGGGGCATTTTTCTGGAATGGGTTTCATTTCCTCTGGGGAAGAAATGGCTTTCCCTTCCCAGTCGGGACATGCTTACTGGCCCTAGCATTCCTCTTCGGATGGTCATGCTGTCCTGAGCCCCTGCAGAGGGGTAGGTTGTGGAGCTTGAGCGCTGTCCCTGAACTCTTCATTTCATGGCGAGCGCTCTACCACTTGAGCCACAGCTCCACTTCTGGTTTTCTGGTGGTTCATTGGAGATAAGAGTCTCATGGACTTTCCTGCCTGGGCTGGAACCTTGATCCTCAGATCTCAGCCTTCTGAGTAGCTAGGATGATAGACATGAGCCACTGGTGCCCGGCTCAGATAGGCGCATTTTACCCCCCCCCTCCCCCCAAGGCCTGATTACAAGGAAAATGGCATGTATGTCACAGGACTCTGTCACATTGGTCCACTGCCCAGCACCTTCCTGCCACCTCTACCCCATATTGTGCCTTGTCCCGTGAACCATTGGCTTCTGAGGTCCGCCACGTCTCTGGCCAGCAGTAGGGAAGTGTTGGTCCTGAGTCAAAGGGTGAGTTCTGCTGTCAGGGCTGCGGTCTTGGCAAAGTTGGTATGCATCTCTGACATTCCACATTGTGTGGGCCAGTCCTGGGGCTTGAACTATGAACCTAAGTACTGTCCCTGAGCTCTTTTGCTCTAGAGTAGTGCTCTGCCACTTGAGCCAAACCTCCACTTCCAGCTTTTTCTGTGTGCTTAATTGGAGAGATGATTGGACTTTCCTGCCTAGGCTGGCTTTGAACCACTATCCTCAGATCTCATGCTCCTGAGTATGATGACAGGCGTGAGCCCCCAGTGCCCAGCAACATTCTAGTTCTTGTTTGTCAGTTGTGGGGCCTGAATTCTGTCTAGGTGCCAGTCACTGAGCTGTTGAGCTCAAGACGAGCGCTCTACCACTTGAACCATAGCACCACTTCTGGTTTTCTGGTGGTTTATTGGAGCTAAGAGTCTCATGGACTTTTCCTGCTCAGACTGGCTTTGAACCTCGATCCTCAGATCTCCGCCTCCTGAGTTCCTAGCATGACAGGCGTGAGCCACCGGCGCCTCAGCTCCTGCTCCCCCTTTCTGAATGAGCCATTCGGCAGTAGACTAACCTACCCGTTCACTTTTGTATCTTCTGCTAGGGACCTGCCACCACGGTTGCCTTTTCAAGAACAGGGGAGTATTTTGCTTCTGGAGGCTCTGATGAACAGGTAAGGAAAAAAAAAACCTCAAGGAATCTGAGCTGATGCTGCTGAGGACCCAGTAGAAGACTAGAGGTTGCCTGGGGGTGGGGCAGGCGGTACTGGCTTTCTGTGACTCCGTTGGAGTTCGGGGTAGGAGTATCTTTGCTACCCAGAGCAGGTCTCCCGCAGCCTGGTAGCAGTGTCTCGGAGCCTTTCCTGCTAAGATCAGCACCTGCCTGCAGCTCCATTGCTCCCCAGCCCTCGGGGGAACCGGTCAGAAGGCCAGCATTTTCTTTTTTTGTTGTTGTTGGCCATAGGGCTTGAACTCTGGGCCTGGGCGCTGTCCCTCAGCTCTTCAGCTCAAGGCGAGTGCTCTACCACTTGAGCCACAGCACCACTTCCGGTTTTCTGGTGGCTCATTGAAGATAAGAGTCTCAGGGAGGTTCCTGCCCAAGCTGGCTTCAGACCACAATCCTCAGATCTCAACCTCCTGAGTAGCTAGGATGATAGGCGTGAGCCACTGGCGCCCAACTTGTTTATTTATTTGTTATGGTACTGGGATTTGAACTTGGGGCCTTGCACTTGCTAGGCAGGTGCTTTGCCCCTTGAGCTATGCCCCTGCCCTCCTGGCTGCCTATGTTAGTTTGCTTCCAGAGCATTCTGGAGTGACTTTGGGCATTGCTCCTTCACATGCATGCCAGCCACTCTGTGGTTAGGAATTTATTCAGCCTTCGTTCTGCACAGTGTACGTGTATGCCAATGTGCTCTTTTGTAAAGTGACAAATGAGAGCCCCCCTAGGTGGCTGTTTTTTCTGGGGTGCTTGGCACCGAACAGTGCTTCTGGTTGCTGGGGGGGTCGGGGAGGGCGCTCAGCTGTGCAGTCTCAGGGATGGTGGCCAGGGCACGTGGAGTAGTAGGTTTCTGGGTTGCTGTGGCCTCCCACGATTGCTTGGCCACACTCCACAACTCCTGTTGATGGCCTAAGGCAGCCGTCCTGGAAGGGGTCCTGCAAGTTCCCCCGCTGGCCATGGCCTCAAGCCTCCAGCAGGGGGCGCTCTTGCTCCCCAGCAGCTCTTGGGGAGGAGACTCGAGCTACTGTCCTTCCTAAGCGACTCGAGTCGGTGTTTATGGCTCAGCATACTAACTAGCCTTAGGATACCAGGTCGGCCACGCTGGGTCCTGGGACCCTCCCAGCCCCTTGTGAAGTAGGACTTGGGACCCTTTTTGCACAAAAGCGGGCTCAGTGGCAATGGGGCTGAGTTCCTTGGCCAGGGCCTCACAGTGAGGGGCGGAGCCAGGACCTTAACCCAGCCCGTCTGGTCTGGTGTCCACCACCTCCCCCGTTGACAGGGACCATGTACTGACTTGGTGCAAATAACCGCTATCTGTGCCACCCCAGACAGAGCTGGATAAGGAAGTACTGAGGCTAGAGGTGTTCACAGGGGCATGCCATCCTGGTGCTGCAGCCAGGGCCTCAGCCAATGAAATAAGTCATTGGAATCTTTTTAACAAACAGCAAAAACAAGAAACGTGAACATAAAGGGGAATCCTTCCCCCTCAGCCCACCCCGCTGTCCTGGGGCTTGATCTCAGGGCCTTTGCGCTGTCCGAGAGCCTCTTTGTACTTAAGGCTAGCTCTCTAACGCTTGAGCCACAGCACCACTCCCCACTTTCTCTGAGTAGTTTATTGGAGATAGGAGTCTCACAGACTTTCCTGCCTTGGCTGGCTTCAAACCATGATCCTCAGATCTCAGGCTCATGAGTAGCTAGGATTACAGGCATGAGCTACTGGTACCCGGCAAGAGGGACTCTTTTTGTTGGGGCAGGGGGAACAGGCAAGAGAGGGGAATGTGATCAGGTGGTGTGTTTGTGAAATACACCCAAAGTACATTGTACACTTATATGAAAATGTCATAATTAAACCCATTTTTTTTTGCCAGTCCTGGGGCTTGAACTCAGGACCTGGGCACTGTCCCTGAGCTTCTTTTTGCTCAAGGCTAGAACTCTACCACTTGAGCCACAGCACCACTTCCAGCTTTTATCTGTTTATGTGGTACTGAAGAATCAAACCCAGGGCTTTGTGCATGCTAGGCAAGCACTCTACCACTGAGCCACATTCCCAGGCTAAACCCATTATTATTTTTATTTTATTTTTTATATTTTGTCAGTTGTGGGGCCTGAGCTCTGGGCCTGGGCGCTGTCCCTCAGCTCTTCAGCTCATGGCAAGTTTTTTTTGCTCAAAGCTAGTGCTCTATCATTTGAGCCACAGCTCCGCTTCTAGGCTTTTGGTAGCTCATTGAGCATAAGAGCCTCATGAACTTGCCTGCTCGACTAACGTTGAATCGTGATTCTCAGATCTCAGCTTCCTGAGTAGCTGAGGATTATAGGTGTGAGCCACTGATGCTCTGCCAGTTTTGTACCACTTTTTCAAAGGCTATTTTTCTCCCCTTATTCTCTGTACCTTGGCAGGTAATGGTTTGGAAGAGTAACTTTGATGTTGTTGATTATGGAGAAATCATAAAAGGGCAGAGGCCCCCAGCTGCACTGGCCGACTCGGCAAGGAATCTGGTAAGTGGTTTGGCTGGTATGTTACGTTGGGCTCTGTGATTGGGTGGGCACCAGAGGCTTGGACTGGTTACTGGTAAGATCTAATCACGTACCAAATACTATTTGGGTCCTTGTGCTTGATTTGGATCTAGAACGAACAAGGGAGACAAGGGAGACATAAATGGCTGGCGGGGGTGGGGGGGGCTGTTGGGAAGGTGGCTCAGTGGTAGAGCGCTTGCCTCGCATGCATGAGGCCCTGGGTTTGATTCCTCAGGACCACATAAGCAGAAAAAGCCAGAAGTGGCGCTGTGGCTCAAGTGGTAGAGCGCTCGCCTTGAGCTGAAGAACTGAGGGACAGCACCCAGACCCTGAGTTCAGGCCCCACGAGAGACAAAAAACAAAAAAAAAGGGTGGCAGGGACCTAGCGGGAACTCCCCTGTCCCCCATTTGGGTAGGGGCGGTGTTTCTGTGGCACAATCTGTTACAACATTTAGACCCGAGGAAAACAGTGCCAAGCCACAGGACCTGAGCAGGGGGTTCCTAGAGGGTTCAGGGCCTCGTCACTGTCAGGGGAAATGAGAAAGGGCTCCCCCCCACCCCCCTTTGCTTTTACTTCTCCCTTTTAAAACCATGGAGAGGAAGTTCCTCAGCCGCAAGCCATTTTTAGTTACCCTCTCTTGCTAGAAGGACATTCAGTGTTCTTGAATTCAAACGGCGAATATATTTTGACAAATATCTAAGAAAGTTGCTCATGGATACGGCCTCCTTACGTAAAGTCACGTTCGTCTGTAGCTGAAATGAATGTTAAGGGGCGATTGCAGAGCCCTGAGAGTGTCAAGTGTATGTGGTCTCCGGCTGTGGTCTGCGACTCTCCCCTATTGGACCTTACAGGCAGCCTGGCTTCCCCCACAGGCGGAAACTGGCCTGAACAACAGGAAGTGACCCGCCCAAATCCACCAGCAAGTCAAGGCTGTGGCCCAGAATAGAGCAAGGAAGCCTCCTCAGCCTGCCCTTCCTCCATGCCCTGGGCTGCCTCTAGGAATAGATCCAGATGGGTCTTAGAGCCGTGTCCAAGCTTGGGCCTTCTAGTTGACAGCCATGGCTGGGAGGGTGTATTCATCCTTGGCACTTGCTAATTAGCCCTCGGCTTCTGTGTCTGTGGAAATGACGGGCCTGCGAGGTGATCTTGCCAGTTCATCGTCCACCTACAAAAGCCTTTCCAACCGTAAGGGACGGTTCTTGCAGCGTCCCCGCCCTCTCCCCTACACTTCCTAGTCTGTGGGGCACTTGAGTGGAGCCAGGCACGGCAGAACTACCTGCCTGTGCTCCTCCTCCGCTCCTCCTGTATCGTAATGAATGGATAAGACGCAGCTCCAGTCTCTGGGGGTGGGGGGTGGGGAGCACCTGTGCTGGCCCCCCTGAACAGGGCTGAACAAAGTACCCACTGCAGGTGGCAGCATGCACTAATGTCTGCCTCTTGGCAGTGCTTAGTAAACACCAGGTGGGGTAAATTCCATGTTCTTTTCCTTACAGTTTCTAGGGAAGTAACCTTTTCCTGACTTGCCTCTTGGTCTTTCAGTACTGGTTCCGAGGTGGGGTTTGGGGCATCCTTGTGTCTCAGAAGCTTTGGGGTCCAGAAAGTCGGGATGCAGTCATGGGGTGGTGGGGTGAGCAGAGGATGGGCTTTAAGGCGTGGGTGTGTGAGCAGCTCAGCTGACCGTGAAGCAGCCAGTTGTCCCCTTTAGACCCAGCGTCACAACTCTGCCAACTGAGCTTAAATGGGGCTTAAATGGGGGACCAGATATGGGCTCTGGAGTCCGGGAAGTAGGTTTGAACCCTGCCATGTGCCCCCCTGCAAAGTACCCTCTCTCTGTCTCTCTCTCTCTTGGGCCTGGGAAGGTGGCTCAATGGTAGAGTGCTTGGCCTCACATGCATGAGGCCCTGGGTTCCATTCCTCAGCACCACATAAGCAGAAAAGGTCAGAAGTGGCGCTGTGGCTCAAGTGGTAGAGCGCCAGTCTTGAGCCGAAGAGCTGAGGGACAGTGCGCAGGCCCAGAGCTCAGGCTAAAACAAAAAACCCCCAAAGTACCCACTCAGTCCTAAGTGTCTACAGGCTCTGAAGACCTCATCTGCCGCCTCTGCAGCCTCCCAAGCAACCCGCGACTCCTGCAGTCATTCCGGGCTGGCGTCGGGGCTCTTTGCTTGTTTGTCATAAACCCCTTTGTCTTTCCGTGTATTGTTTTATTCTTTGAAACAGGCTCTCAATGATAGGTAGGCTGGAGGGGTCATTAACTTGCCATCCTCCTGCCTCAGCCTCCCAAGTGCCAGGAATACAGGTGTGCGCTACCATACCATCACCCTGGCCCTTTGAAGGGCCTGAGTGGATGTGCGGGGCTCCTCTGGACATGCCACAGCCAAACACACACATCACGTGAGACTCTCTTGAAGAGGAAAGAGAGCTAAAGTGTGTTGTCTATGTTACGTTTTGTTGTCAATATACATAACACTAATATAAAATGGGCCATTTTAGCCTTTTTTGGGAAGGGAGGGGGTCAGTCATGGGGCTTGAACTCTGGGCCTGGGTGCTGTCCCTCAGCTCTTCAGCTCAAGCTGAAGCGCTCTACCCCTTGAGCCACAGCACCACTTCCGGTTTTCTGGTGGTTCATTGGAGATAAAGAGTCTCATGGACTTTCCTGCCCCGTCTGGCTTTGAACCACGATCCTCAGATCTCAGCCTCCTGAGTAGCTAGGATGACAGGGATGAGCCACCGGTGCCCAGCTCCATTTTAGCCATTTTTAAGGGCATTGTTCAGCATGACCTTAAGCAGATGCAACTGTCACCAACCAGATCTAGAACTTTCATCCTCCCAGACTGAGAATTTGTTTTGTGTGTGTGTGTGCTGGTCCTGAGGCTTGAGCTCAGGGCCTGGGCGCTGTCCCTGAGCTGTTTTTGCTCAAGGCTAGCACTCTTATCACTTGAGCCACAGCTTTACTTCTAGCATTTTTGATAGTTTAGTGGAGATGAGAGTCTCATAGACTTTCCTGTCCAGGATGGCTTCAAGCCATGATCCTCAGACCTCAGCCTCCTGAGCAGCTAGGATTACAAGTGTGAGCCACCAGCACCTGACTACAGTTTTCTTCTTAGCATCTATTAGTAGTGTGAGGTTGCCATGACGATTGCAATTGATGTATATACTTGGAGCAAGTTTACCCTTCAGGACTTGGGTTTTCTTCACTGAAAGCTGGGGTGTGTTCTTGCCTTGCTGCCCAGCGGTGCCCCAAGCTCACAGATAACATCTGAGGTCTAGTGGTTGACCCAGGATCACCTGATTTCTCAAAGAGCCCTTGAACACCACACCCATGACCCCAAACTCATGAGTATGGATGTCTCTCTCTGCCCTTTCAGCTCTTTCCGGACCTCTGGCACTGAAGCCTCACACAGCACGCTTAGGCATTTCAAGATTTTTAGGAGGTCCATGGGGCAAAGCATGGGTGCTCAATTCATGGCCAAGAACTTGTTCCGCCACGGCCATCAAAAGCTGGGGGGGGGGCTGGGAAGGTGGCTCAGTGGTAGAGCTCTTGCCTCGCAAGCATGAGGCCCTGGGTTCGATTCCTCAGTACCACATAAGCAAAAAGAAAAAAGCCGAAAGTGGCGCTGTGGCTCAAGTGGTAGAGCTCTAGCCTTGAGCTGAAGAGCTGAGGGACAGCGCCCAGGCCCAGAGTTCAGGCACCATGACCGGACACCCCCCCCCAAAAAAAAGCTAGAGGGGGCCAGGTGCCAGTGGCTCACACCTGGTAGCCTAGCTAGTCAGGAGGCTGAGATCTGAGGATCATGGTTCAAAGCCAGCCCAGGCAGGAAAGTCCGAGAGTCACTCATCTTCAGTAAACTACTCAGAAACAAGCCAGAAGTAGGGCAGTGGCTCCAGTGGTAGAGCACCAGCCTTGAGTACAAAGAGGCTCAGGGACAGCACCCAAGCCCTGAATGGAAGCTCCAGGACTGAGGGGTGGTGGCGGGGGGGGGGGGCATGCACAGAGCCAGAGGGAGGCAGTGGATCACGCCTGTAATCCTAGCTATAAAGGAGGCTGAGATCTGGAGGATCAAGTTTCAAGGCCATGCCAGGCAGAAGAGTTCACTTGACTCCAGCTGCCAATAACCAACAAAAAGCAGGGCTGGAGAGGGCATGGCTCCAATAGTAAGAGTGCCAGCCTAGCAAGCCCAAGGCCCTGAGTTCAAATCCCAATATTGCCCATGAAATAGGCTAGAAAGGAAAGTCCCGCCTGGATGCCCCCCCTTCCCACTGTGCTCACTCACCAGCAGGCCGTGGCAGGGGTGACCCTGTGTGCCTTGACAGCCCCTTCTCTCCAGAAAACGCCCAGCCCCTGACCCCTCTTCCCCCCACCCCCCACTTCAGCTCTCAGATCTTGGATTGAAGGCTGCCCTTGAGCCCACTCGGCACGGTCTGCTCACTGCCGAGCTATTTTCAACTCCTGCTTGAGATTCACAGGCTTATTTTTAGGCACATTTCGTGTTGAAAAGCAAAAGCCATTTCCCCCAGCCATTCAGAACGAGAATAATGGGTTCCATTTTTCCCTCTATTCCTGGCGGAGCAAGGCTCGTGGCCAGGAACTTTCTCTGCTCGCAGGGCTGCGGGTGGGCGGGGGGTGGGGGGGAGCCCCACATTTACTCCCGGGGACACACCGGTGGCGAGGCTGGAGGAAGGTTGGAAGGGCTGCTTAGGGATGTAAGTAGAGCAGGGAGTTGGAGAGCCCACACCAACCAATATGCAGCAGGTGCTTGAACGGATGTTTTCAGAGTCTGCTGCTGCTTGACCCTCTAAATCCATTCTCCTGCTTGTCTGTGCCTTGCGGGGGGGGGCGCACCCCTGAAACCAAAAAGACCCCAGTGTCTTGGCCGACCTTGGAGTTCGCATCCCACCCAGAACCTCACCACACAGAGGTCACATTTCTGTCAGCCACAGGAAGCACTTTAGCAAAGCTGCTTTTATTTGTGACGTGCTCTTA